GGGCTGTCTGCAAAGAGGCAGGGACTGGAAGGAGGTTTTCTAGGGTTGTACCAGAGGGGTTATGTGCAGAATGAGGTCGTGCTGTCGGGGCTATTGTGGAGCAAGGTATTTGGAAACAGGATACCGTGACAAGTGGGTTGTCAGTGATTAGCTCTCTGACAGAACAATTGCCCTCCACACCTGGGGCCCCTTCCTGGTTCTTGCTCACTTATCTTATTAGGAATCCACATTATCAGCTTTGGTTTTAAATGAAAATTTCTTCTACATTAGTCTTTGCTTATTCATCATTTCCCAAACTTATTTGATCATAGGTCTCATTTAATCTCTCTATCCCTACACCCATTAATGTCTCTCATAACTAGAAAAATACACTTTGGGAAAACTTTGAGCTCAGAGCTAGGAAGAACTATCTACATTGCCACTAAAATCTCTTTGGGTGGTGACAGGATTAGGGTGGAGAGACCGGGAATCATGTTCTAGAGTCCCCTGTGCAACCAAAATAAAAGCTGATGCCTCTGACGGACTGAATGGACCCCTCTTGAGGGTCCATTCGGAAACCCCAGAAAAACTTTAAGTTTCCCTGGCTTTGATGAGATAGGAGGTTAGACATGCCCCAGTGCCACCTCTTTTTGTTGTTACCAGGTTTTCTTTTCTAAGAGATAAACAGAAACCAACATCTGAAAAACAAACACTGCAAGTTCCTTCCATGGGCTTCAGCAGACCACCGGACACGACGGCCAGACTCCACCCCCTCATTACAGGTTCACCATGAAAACTAGTGGCCGGACAAAGAATTCCGCCCTGATGACTGCCCACAACCACTGTCCGGCCCTGGCTGGTTTACAGAGATTAAGCACAAGGCGACTTTGTGCCTTATGTTTCACCTTTCGACATATAGAGCCTAAGTTTACTGCATTTTAATAGTGTCTCTATGAGCATGGGTCATATGTAACATAAATGTTTATGCACTACACATGCATTAAGATCCATCATAAATATTTATAAGATTGTCCTACAACCTACTGAATATGTATGTATAGCCAATCTCACTAGGCATAAATATCAGCCTCTCCCTTCTGTCTCTGAAGTGTCTGCTTTCAGTTTGAGCCAAAGGCTCCACTTCCCTGCCTGCAGGTTGTAACCCCTTTTTTAAATTGCATTTTAAGTTTTGGGGTACATGTGAAGAACATGCAAGATTGTTGCATAGGTACACACAAGGCAGTGTGATGTGCTGCCTTCCTCCACATCACCTGTATCTGGCATTTCTCCCCATGCTATCTCTCCCCAATTCCCCACCCCCCGCTGTCCCTCCCCTATTTTCCCCTGACAGACCCCAGTGTGTGATGCTCCCCTCCCTGTGTCCATGTGTTCTCATTGTTCAACACCCGCCTATGAGTGAGAACACGTGGTGTTTGATTTTCTGTTCTTGGGTCAGTTTGCTGAGAATGATGGTTTCCAGGTTCATCCATGTCCCTACAAAGGACATGAACTCATTGTTTTTGATGGCTGCATAATATTCTATGGTGTATATATGCCACATTTTCCCTGTCCAGTCTATCATCGATGGGCATTTGGGTTGGTTCCAGGTCTTTGCTATTGTAAACAGTGCTGCAATGAACATTTGTGTGCATGTGTCCTTATAGTAGAACGATTTATAATCCTTTGGATATATACCCAGTAATGGGATTGCTGGGTCAAATGGAATTTCTATTTCTAGGTCCTTGAGGAATCGCCACATTGTCTTCCACAATGGTTGAACTAATTTACACTCCCACCAACAGTGTAAAAGTGTTCCTATTTCTACACATTCTCTCCAGCATCTGCTGTCTCCAGATTTTTTAATGATCGCCATTCTAACTGGCATGAGATGGTATCTCAATGTAGTTTTGATTTGCATTTCTCTAATGATCAGTGATGATGAGCATTTTTTCATATGTTTGGTTGGCTTCATGTATGTCTTCTTTTGTAAAGTGTCTGTTCATATCCTTCACCCACTTTTGAATGGGCTTGTTTGTTTTTTTCTTGTAAATCTGTTTTGGTTCTTTGTAGATTCCGGATATCAGCTCTTTGTCAGATGGGTAGATTGCAAAATTTTTTCCCATTCTGTTGATTGCTGATTCACTCTAATGATTGTTTCTTTTGCTGTGCAGAAGCTATGGAGTTTGATTAGATCCCATTTGTCTATTTTGGCTTTTGTTGCCAATGCTTTTGGTGTTTTAGTCATGAAGTCCTTGCCTACACCTATGTCCTGAATGGTTTTGCCTAGATTTCCTTCTAGGGTTTTTATGGTGTTAGGTCTTATGTTTAAGTCTTTAATCCATCTGGAGTTAACTTTAGTGTAAGGTGTCAGGAAGGGGTCCAGTTTCTGCTTTCTGCACATGGCTAGCCAGTTTTCCCAACACCATTTATTAAACAGGGAATCCTTTCCCCACTGCTTGTTTTTGTCAGGTTTGACAAAGATTGGATGGTTGTAGATGTGTTGTGCTGCCTCTGAGGCCTCTGTTCTGTTCCATTGGTCTATATCTCTGTTTTGGTACCAGAACCATGCTGTTTTGTAACTCTTTTTTTTTTTTTCTCTGAGACAGAGTCTCACTCTGTCACCCAACCTGGAGTGCAGTGGTGCAATCTCAGCTCACTGCAACCTTGACCTCCCAGGTTCAAGCGATTCTGCCTTAGCCTCCTGAGTAGCTGGGATTACAGGCATGCACCACCACAACTGGCTTATTTTTGTATTTTTAGTAGAGATGGGGTTTCACCATGTTGGTCAAGCTGGTCTCAAACTCCTGGCCTCAAGTGATCCACCAGCCTCTGCCTCCCAAAATGCTGGGATTACAGGCGTGAGCCACCACGCCTGGCCTGGGTTGTAACCCTTTATAAGAAAGAAAGTTCTCCTTTTTTAAAATTTATAGATCTCAACAATTTTAAGTAGACACCCTTATAAATTAAGGGACTATCTTGTTATCAGATAAGAGATTCGCAGATAAGAGCAACAGGATTGTAGAGAGTGGTAGAAGCAGAGGCATACGCCTCTGATGACCAGGCTCTGGGCAGATACTCCACGGAATATGCTGGAAACACTGCCTCCAGTCACTGATTCCCAAACTCCGGTGCTGATTTGAATAAGAATCTTCAGAAATCCCTGGAGGAACCAAAAGTGCTCAACACATCCAGCCAGCGAGCTCCCTGGGCCCTGTGTGCTGTGGAAGTCTAAAGAGTGGTTCTTCTTGATCCCCCTGGCCCTGGGGCCAAGCCCAACCCTGGATAAAACAGATGCAGGCCACTGAAGAACCAAAAAACTGATGGCTGGGTCCCCTGCCTTGTGCACCCCTTCTGTGCAATGTCCCGCTCTCCCCACCCTATCATCAAGACCAGGCCAAGCTGAGGGTGCAGGGGAAGCAGCTGCCCAGCCAAGACCAAATGTGAATGGAGAAGTGTGTTCCCAACATGCTCGTTCTGGTGAGAGGCCTGAGACTTGTTGAGGCCCCGATCCCTCCTGTCCCACAGGCAGGACTTGCCTGGCCCTATCCTTTCACCACCTCTGACTGTCCTGCCCATTAGACTTCCACTGCGTGGGAGAAGATGAAAGAAGAGGTGCGGTTGCCAGAGCAAGGCTCAAGGTAGAAGGCTTCTGGCCTGGTTAGTCCTTGACCAGCCGCCCCAGGCACTTTCCACTGCACCAGTGGTCCAGTCTGTGGGGTCCCTGCCATCCAGACTGACCTGAACATGGGTTTCTCTCTTCTGCCTGGAGTTCTGCCTTCTAGCTGCCTCCAGAGAAGGATACAAGTCTTTTTGTTTTCAGGATTTAACCACTGGGAACTCTGCATTTGGATATACTACCTGCTCTACTCCTGCCCCTGCAGTCTGGCTCCATACGGTAGCCAGAAAAGTGTTTTCCAAACACAAGCCATGCTTGAAACTTTCCGTTTTCCAAGCCCTCTCCTGAGAGTGAAGAACCCTGACTCGCTCTACATCGTTGCTCTGACCCCTGCCACCCCCAGCTCCACCCCAGACACACTCACCTCCTCGCTTCCCTTTGACCATGTCGGGTACACGTCTACCTCAGGGCCTCCGCATTGCTGTTCCTGATGCCTGAAATGCTCTTCCCCTATTTAGCAACAGGTCTCACACTCTTACTTTTTTCTTTAGGTTGAAAGTCAGTGAGGCCTTCCCTGAACACCTGATACAAACTAGCAACCCGCTCTCACCTCTGGCACGGAAGTGGAGGGTCGGGAATGCTTGCTTAATTTCCCATAGCACATCCCAGCATCTGACATTTTGTGTATATGCTTCTTTGTTCATTCTAGAAGGTAAGCTCTATGAGGATAAGGCTTTGTCTGCTGGGTTCACTGCCGAATTCCCAGGCCCTAGATCATGGAAATGCTTAATAAGTGTTTGTGAATGATGAAAAGAAGGAGTGAATCAACTGTAAAGTTCTGGGCATTTACCACAGTTCCCACAGGAGCTGTCCCTGACCAGTGATGACACGCAGCCCACTTCCTGCTTGGCACTCCTTCCCAGCCTCCTTTCTCAGGTGGCCCCCATGCTTCCTGGGAGCTCACCAAGTCCCTCAATAAGAAGCACTTCCCAGCAGCCCCCATATGCCTCCTCTCCCACACCTGGCATGTTGTCCAGCAATTGTATTGTGCAGTTGCATGAGGCAGTCATCCGTGCATGTGATCATAGACTGAGCATGACTCCTAAATTGACTCCCATGGGGTATTAACTCCTGAGGGACAAGACTGGAGAGACAAAAGCAGCTGGGCCTGCAATGTCTGAATCCCCCTCCTCAGCCCTTTTGCCTCAGGAGGGGCAAGAGCTCGAAGGGCTTCTTTGTTGGCCAGTCTGCGTCAGGAGCCTGCCTCTGCGGCTGGGGGAGGTCTGGATGAGCATGACCTGTGTCTCTCGTATGCCGCTCCTTTCTATTAGAACGGTACTTCAATTCTGGTAAGTTAGAAGAAATGTCCAGCCATCCACCTCCATCAGAATATGTTTTATTATTATTATTGTACTTAGAGATGGAGTCTTACTCTGTTACCCAGGCTGGAGTGCTGTGGCACAATCTCGGCTCACTGCAACTTCTGCCTCCCGGGTTCAAGTGATTCTCCTGCCTCAGCCTCCTGAGTAGTTGGGATTACGGGCACATGCCACCATGCCCAGCTAATTTTTGTGTTTTTAGTAGAGACAGGGTTTCACCATGTTGGCCAGGATGCTCTCTATCTCCTGACCTCGTGATCTGCCTGCCTCGGCCTCCCAAAGTGCTGGGATTACAGGCGTGAGCCACCGAGCCCGGCCTATGTATTTTTTTTTAAATCATACACACATAAATATAAAGCAAAGGCTATGCCAAGATCCAGCTGGGGCCAGGCCTGACCCCTGCTCTGAGCATCTCGTTGGCTTCCCGTCAGTGGAATACAATGAAGGCATATTCCACTTGGTCTGGCGATGTCCTCTTGGGGCGATGAAAAGGAGGCATGTTAGTGTAGACAGCAAAGTCGTCCCCCTTCTGGGGGGCCAGGTTGATCACGTTGGAAAATATGGCATTGGCGTGGCAGGAAAGATCCTTTAGAGAGAGAACCCTGGTTAGAAGCAGATGGCTGGGCACCAGGGACTTCCAGAGACAAAACCAGGCACTGGGCTGTCCCTACAGGGCAGCCGGTAGAGCGCTGAGTTCTTGTGTGAAAGCCCTAAATCCCAGTTTTCAGAAATAGTTCCTCCAGGTCTGTCCCCCGCCTCATCCCACCACCCTCTGTGTGGGGTCTAGCTAGGAAGCAGCAAGAAGGCCAGGAGCCCCCCTCTAGGTGCGACTGGACTAGCTCCTTACCGAGGACTTGTGGGGAAAGTCTGTCTGATGCCTCAGTTGTTTCTTAAATAGTCCTAGAAAAATTGATGAACTCAGAGTCAGTCTGAGTTAGGTTAATAACCATCTTTACTTGGTTGTTTGCTAAATTTAGGGCTTAAATCTGAAATGCAAAATCCACCACACTCAGACCATTGGGCCTCTGAGACTAAGTTAAATTTCCAAGAAGACACAGGGGAAATGAGCACTCTCTATAATTTTGTTTATTATTTAGAAGAGATTATTGGGCATCAATATTTCTCTTAGCTGAGGCGTGTAGGCCATAAGCATATATGCAGAAGGCTTCTACTATACATGGTTTTCAGCATGGAGAACTTGTGTGATGAGTAAGTCTTATTGCTGTGTACAGAGTCCCCAGCAATTGAAGATAAGATGTCTTATCTTCATATCTCCTTCACATTACCCTCCCAGTACTCCCCTCACAAGGCTGAAGACACCCCCATGTCTGCCCCCAGTTTCAGCTCTCTTCATTCCCAGTTCCACCGCCAACTTGTTCAACTCATTCTCATGCCTCCATTTCTTCAGGGTCATGAACAAAAGACCCACCGGGAGCAAGATGAGGGCCACCACAGTGGAGGAGCCAGAAAGGGCTGTGGCCACTGTGCTTAGGCTGAGGGAAGCAACCAAGGGAAATGAGGACCATCAGCTGCTCTGGCTGGCTTTGGCATCCAGAAAAGTGCCCTGGGGCCTCCTTGCCCCTATAGGGGCTCTCCCACTTCCAAGCTCCCACCTCCTTAATGGCCAACCATCTCCTGCCTCCATGTTAGCCCCTCTCCCCAACTCCAGCCTCCATAGCCATGGCCCCACTCACATCCATCCCCACAAATCCCTTCCCCAGGAGCCCACCTTCCTCCTTCACGGGTCTAGCCGTTCTCTCACCCACCTGCTGAGTCCTGCAGTGCTTCAGAATGGTGATGTTCTCTGCATAAGGGAAGGAGAGGAAAGTAATATCAAAGAGATAACAAGGTAATTCTTGAACACATATGCAAATGAGCTCTACAGAATGCTGAATGGTAATATTAGCTATTGTTTATTGTGAACTTACTATATCCTGGGCACGTTCTTTATCTTGCTTAATCTTCACAAATAGACCTGAGATAGAAATAATCATTATTTCCATTATACAGTAAAGAAAAACAGCTCTTGGGGATCAGACTTGCTTAGGGTCGTAGAGCTGGTAAGTGGCAGAGTTTAGACATAAACCTGCGTCTCTCTGACTTTAAGCCGTGTGTTCATACACACTACATTCTGCTGCCTCCATGTGATCGTTTCACTCCAGAGCGCTACCATTCTTACTGAGGGTTAGCAGATACAACAGGAGGTCCAAGAAATAAGATAACCAGGATGTTTGTGGAGGGGCATGTGAAAGGGGTTGACAGAATCAGGACATCGGCAAGGCCACTAGAGCTACAATGAGGGAAAGGTGGCAGGTCTGAGAGCCTGCCCATGCTTTGGTGGGGAAGAGGAGAATTATTCACACTGGGAAAGAATTCCCCCCACCTCGAGGGAAGGAGACACAAAACTCATCCCCTCTCCAGCCATATTCTGTGTGCAGATTCTCAGAGGTAGAAGGAATCTTAAACCCTCCCATTGTATAGGTGAGGAATCTCAGAGAAAGGCACTTGTCTGAGGCAAGTGCTGGAGTCCACATTTTGACTCCAAACCCAAAGCCCAAAGCTCCCTTACCTGCATTCAGGCTTCTTCCTCTTTCTTTCTTTTTTTTCCTTTTGAGACAGTCTCTCTCTGTCGCCCAGGCTGAAATCTTGGCTCCCTGCAGCCTCCACCTCCAGGGTTCAAGCAATTCTCCTGCTTCAGCCTCCTGAGTAGCTGGGATTACAGGCACGTGCCACCTCACCTGGCTAATTTTTGTATTTTTAGTAAAGACAGGGTTTCACTATGTTGGTCAGGCTGGTCTCAAACTCTTGACCTCATGATCTACCTGCCTCGGTCTCCCAAAGTGCTGGGATTACAGGCGCCAGCCACCATGCCTGGCCCCCTTCCTGTTTTTTCCCATAAAGTGGAGCTGCATTAATTCAGCCCTTATAGCAGGTAGCACCTTTCAGGCCACATGTCTTGGGGAGCTGGCTGCACAATGCAGAGACTACTGCTAAAGTGGGCTGGAGGGAACCCACTGGATCACTAGGACAATTTACTACCCACGTTGGATAAATAGCATCTGGGAATACAAATGCCAAGCATTACAGCCTTTGGGGGCACCAAGGCCAGATGGAATTCTGCTGGATATCCTAATAGCTCACTTCCTTTCTGCCTTTGTCCCTGTCCCTCTTCTGAGTGAGATAGCTGACCTCACCAGGTTTGCCTTTGACAGCTACTGGATGGAGGGTAGAAAGGGGTCTTGGAAACCAGACCTTCCCAGTGCCCATGGTACCAGCCATGAATCACGCAAGATGAGGTACCAAGTCACAGGGCATGATGTGTGGGGGAGTGGAGTGTGGCAGATGACACACATAAGCCCTGAGCAACGAGAGGGGAACTTGGGTCCCCAGCTGGGGAAGGCTGGCGGGAGTACAGCACACCTGTTTACATCAAGGGGGAGATAGCATGATGTGTCCATCTAGGGCCAGAAAGGCAAGTACCTATCCTGGGCAGGCAGAGGAGGTGGGTAGAGGAGAGAAGAACAAAGAATGATGTTATAAAAGAGCCTGAGATTTAAAGTCCATTGACCTGGGTCTCGGGTGCTTCCTAACTGCGATCATAAGACAAACACTTAACCTTTCTGAGCCTCATCTGTGAAATGGACAGAACGTGAATATCTACCTCACAGAGTTGTTTGAGAACTCAGTGATCAGACAGTAATAACGGGCTGGGCGCAGTGACACGCCTACAATCTGAGCACTTTGGGAAGTAATGGCAGGAGGACTGCCTGAGCTCAGCAGTTTGAGACCAGCCTGAGCAATGTAGAGAAACCTTGTCTCTACTTTAAAAAAAATTAGCTGGGTGTGCTGCCACATGCCTGTAGTCCCAGCTCCTTGAGAGGCTGAGACAGGAGAATCACTTAAGCTAGGGAAATCCAGGCTGCAGTAAGCTAGGATCACACCACTATACTCCAGCCTGCATGACAGAGCAAGACCCTGTTACAAAAACAAACAAACAAAAAACAGGAATAACAATTGTGTATTGGTCTGGTTTATAGCGGGTCTTACCTGAGCAGGGTCATTGGGTGGGATTGTCAGGGAAGCATTGCTGGTTCTCGAGTCCTGGAACTTACAGTTGGTCCAATTCATTTTGCCAAAGAGTTCATCCAGGAGGTTGTTGTTCCAAGTATTGAGATTCCCGAGAGAAGTAGGTCCCCTTAGCTAGAAGCAGAGTTTCTCAGAGGTATTTAGAAGCAGCTGGTAAACACAGGACTCAGGGAGCTGGCCCCCCTCTTCCCCTCCCTGTTTTTCATTCCTGTCAGATGGGGAGATGGTGAAATTCTCACCACTGGAGGGGAAGGCCTCAAAGGCCATGGAGACAGCACCTCTTTCTTGGTGAAGGCATCTTCAGATAGAATTCAGCACAAGTGCGAAGGTGGCTCCCCAGCCCTGTCTGTCACATCCTCCTCTCATCTATTAGTATCTGAAGTTACCCTGATCATTTATGTGTTTACTTAATTATTGTCAGCCTCTCATATGAATGTGAGCTTCATAAGAACAGAGCCCTTATCTGTTTTGGCCAAACTGCCTAGAAAGTGCCTCATGCAATGAATAGGTCCAATATGCATTTCTTCAATAAATGAATGAATAAGTAAATGCCAAAGACACCTTTATAAAAGTCAGTGTCACCTGACCTCTGCCGGAATTTTGGGAAGCCTACACCACAGACTTTTGAACCTCTTCATTGATGTCAAATCTTTATCCTTTGAAGGAGAAATTGATTTCAAATAGCCCAAAGTACTCTGTTAAAGTAGAAGATGTTGAACTGAGTAATGTCAGTTTCAGAAAAAGAGAACACGTGCTTATGAAACACCTGCCTCGTGTGGGTGACTAAGGGGAAGAAGGAAGAGAAAGAGCAGGGGAAGATGCTGTCCCACAGCCACCACCACAGGTGTTCACCGGCCTCAGCTGCCACCCCCTGCTCAGGGTGAGAGGCGAAAAGGGAGGTACGCTTAAGGCCAAGTGAAAGAGGAACTGCCACCGTCTCCTCCCTCCACTCCTACCACATCCTAGCAAAGAAAGCTGCAGGAGCAGCCCGGAAATCCCCTCTCTAACAAGACATTGGAACCAAGAGCCCAGGTGACATGGGTGAGTCACATCACCTGCCTGGAATCAATTCCCCTATTTGTGAAATGAAGCAAGGATGAGAAGATGAACAAGACGTGACCAGGAAAAAGACCAGTCTTTTCATAAGCACCCGTCCTTGCCCCTTTCTGTCGTCACTTCCACATGTCACCTGGTACATTGTACATTTCTTCTATCAATTATGCTATTGGCCAGGGAATACTCAGAATTCTTTTAGAGAATAGGTTTTCTAAGTGTTAAAAATTATTTCTATTTTTGATTTTGTAAGGAGAGTAGATCATAATCTTTTCAGTGTGGGACTTTTTAAGTTTTTGTTTCATTAGGTCACATTCAGGTGGTTTTAGAATTCGAAAGGTACAAAGGGCTAGTCCTAGAGAAGCTGCTTATCTGCTCTTGACCCCAGCCATCTAGTTCTCCTCTCTGGAGGAAACCAGCCAGCCGGATTTATTGTGTACCTTATGCGTACATGAGCAAACACATAGACACACAGACACACAAACAGACAGACATACAGGCACACACCATAGACACAGAGACACACACACACATACAGACACATAGATATACACACACATAGACACGCAGACACACAAACACACAGACATACAGATACACACACATAGACACAGAGACACACACACATACAGACACGTACACACACACAGACACACAAACACAGACATACAGACACACATACACATAGACACACAGACACACACACATACAGACACATAGATACACACACATAGACACATAGACATACAGACATACATACGCAGAAACATACAGATACACAAACACAGAGATGCACAGACACACACACACAGAAACACACAGATACACACAGATACACAAACACAGAGATGCACAGACACACGCACCATCCAGGTTCCTTCCTTACAGATGATAGCAGACGACATACATTGCTTTGCCTTTTGCTCTTTCACTTAATATATCTAGGAGTTAATTATTATCAATACATACAGCACTTTCTCATTCCTTTTTTCCACTTCAGAGTGCTCTGTTCTGTGGCTGCTCACAGTTTTTAACCTAGTAGTCATTTAGATTGTTTCCAGTTTTTACTCTTGAAATGATGACGGAATTGTTAAGCTGTCGCAAACATCATTTGCACAGGTGTAAATATATGTGTAAAATTAGAGAAGTGGCTGTTACAGGAGGTTTGCAATCCGAGTTTGAAGAAGTCAGCATTTCTTTTCACACATCCAAATTACAGTGTTACCCAATGTGATACTCATATTCAATATCAGATTTCACTCTGGCTGTTTCTGAAAATCAAAATGCTCCTCAGAGAACAAAGATAGGACATCACTGCGGATATTCAGCAGAACTACCAACTTCTGCAGAGGCCGACCTCCAGGGAGAGTCCAGACGCCCTCTGTAGAGGCCGACCTCCAGGGGGAGTCCAGACGCCCTCTGCAGAGGCCGACCTCCAGGGGGAGTCCAGACGCCCTCTGCAGAGGCCGACCTCCAGGGGGAGTCCAGACGCCCTCTGCAGAGGCCGACCTCCAGGGGGAGTCCAGACGCCCTCTGCAGAGGCCGACCTCCAGGGGGAGTCCAGACGCCCTCTGTAGAGGCCGACCTCCAGGGAGAGTCCAGACGCCCTGCCGACCTCCAGGGGGAGTCCAGACGCCCTCTGTAGAGGCCGACCTCCAGGGGGAGTCCAGACGCCCTCTGTAGAGGCCGACCTCCAGGGAGAGTCCAGACGCCCTCTGTAGAGGCCGACCTCCAGGGAGAGTCCAGACGCCCTCTGTAGAGGCCGACCTCCAGGGGGAGTCCAGACGCCCTCTGTAGAGGCCGACCTCCAGGGGGAGTCCAGACGCCCTCTGTAGAGGCCGACCTCCAGGGGGAGTCCAGACGCCCTCTGTAGAGGCCGACCTCCAGGGGGAGTCCAGACGCCCTCTGTAGAGGCCGACCTCCAGGGGGAGTCCAGACGCCCTCTGTAGAGGCCGACCTCCAGGGGGAGTCCAGACGCCCTCTGTAGAGGCCGACCTCCAGGGAGAGTCCAGACGCCCTCTGTAGAGGCCGACCTCCAGGGAGAGTCCAGACGCCCTCTGTAGAGGCCGACCTCCAGGGAGAGTCCAGACGCCCTCTGTAGAGGCCGACCTCCAGGGAGAGTCCAGACGCCCTGCCGACCTCCAGGGGGAGTCCAGACGCCCTCTGTAGAGGCCGACCTCCAGGGGGAGTCCAGACGCCCTCTGCAGAGGCCGACCTCCAGGGGGAGTCCAGACGCCCTCTGCAGAGGCCGACCTCCAGGGGGAGTCCAGACGCCCTCTGCAGAGGCCGACCTCCAGGGGGAGTCCAGACGCCCTCTGCAGAGGCCGACCTCCAGGGGGAGTCCAGACGCCCTCTGCAGAGGCCGATCTCCAGGGAGAGTCCAGACGCCCTCTGCAGAGGCCGACCTCCAGGGAGAGTCCAGACGCCCTCTGCAGAGGCCGACCTCCAGGGAGAGTCCAGACGCCCTCTGTAGAGGCCGACCTCCAGGGGGAGTCCAGACGCCTTCTGTAGAGGCCGACCTCCAGGGGGAGTCCAGACGCCCTGCCGACCTCCAGGGGGAGTCCAGACGCCCTCTGTAGAGGCCGACCTCCAGGGGGAGTCCAGACGCCCTCTGCAGAGGCCGACCTCCAGGGAGAGTCCAGACGCCCTCTGTAGAGGCCGACCTCCAGGGGGAGTCCAGACGCCTTCTGTAGAGGCCGACCTCCAGGGAGAGTCCAGATGCCCTGCCGACCTCCAGGGGGAGTCCAGACGCCCTCTGCAGAGGCCGACCTCCAGGGGGAGTCCAGACGCCCTCTGCAGAGGCTGACCTCCAGGGGGAGTCCAGACGCCCTCTGCAGAGGCCGACCTCCAGGGGGAGTCCAGACGCCCTCTGCAGAGGCCGACCTCCAGGGGGAGTCCAGACGCCCTCTGCAGAGGCCGACCTCCAGGGAGAGTCCAGACGCCCTCTGCAGAGGCCGACCTCCAGGGAGAGTCCAGACGCCCTCTGCAGAGGCCGACCTCCAGGGAGAGTCCAGACGCCCTCTGCAGAGGCCGACCTCCAGGGAGAGTCCAGACGCCCTCTGCAGAGGCCGACCTCCAGGGGGAGTCCAGACGCCTTCTGTAGAGGCCGACCTCCAGGGGGAGTCCAGACGCCCTGCCGACCTCCAGGGGGAGTCCAGACGCCCTCTGTAGAGGCCGACCTCCAGGGGGAGTCCAGACGCCCTCTGCAGAGGCCGACCTCCAGGGAGAGTCCAGACGCCCTCTGTAGAGGCCGACCTCCAGGGGGAGTCCAGACGCCTTCTGTAGAGGCCGACCTCCAGGGAGAGTCCAGATGCCCTGCCGACCTCCAGGGGGAGTCCAGACGCCCTCTGTAGAGGCCGACCTCCAGGGGGAGTCCAGACGCCCTCTGCAGAGGCCGACCTCCAGGGGGAGTCCAGATGCCCTCTGCAGAGGCCGACCTCCAGGGAGAGTCCAGACGCCCTGCCGACCTCCAGGGGGAGTCCAGACGCCCTCTGTAGAGGCCGACCTCCAGGGAGAGTCCAGACGCCCTCTGTAGAGGCCGACCTCCAGGGGGAGTCCAGACGCCTTCTGTAGAGGCCGACCTCCAGGGAGAGTCCAGACGCCCTGCCGACCTCCAGGGGGAGTCCAGACGCCCTCTGTAGAGGCCGACCTCCAGGGGGAGTCCAGACGCCCTCTGTAGAGGCCGACCTCCAGGGGGAGTCCAGACGCCCTGCCGACCTCCAGGGGGAGTCCAGACGCCCTCTGTAGAGGCCGACCTCCAGGGGGAGTCCAGACGCCCTCTGCAGAGGTCGACCTCCAGGGGGAGTCCAGACGCCCTCTGCAGAGGCCGACCTCCAGGGGGAGTCCAGACGCCCTCTGCAGAGGCCGACCTCCAGGGAGAGTCCAGACGCCCTCTGCAGAGGCTGACCTCCAGGGAGAGTCCAGACACCTTCTGCAACAGCAGCATCACCCTTGTGAGTGTAGCATCTCCCTGAATGATGACTATGGAGCAATAAACTCATGACACAGACATTTCCAAAGAATTCAAGCAAGGTTTACTGAGTTCCAACTATAGTCTGTTT